ATGTAACAGGATTCAAAGCCGTTATTTTATCAAAACAAAGCACATTTCAGCCGGCATGCCGCGCCTGCGTCTTAATTAATTACATTCAGTTGTCAACCGTTGACTTGTCTTCGGTGTGTCCTCATAAATTTAGTTTTTGCTACAGAGTTAGGAAGCTGTAGAGGGCGTTGTTGTTGTTGTTATTCTTTTTTGTTAGTCGCTAGTTAGCTCGAGTTGTCTAGGGTTTTTTTTTATGAGATAAGCCGGTAAACGGGCAGACGGATCACCTGATGGTAAGCAATCGGCGTCGCCCATGGACACCCGAAACACCAGAGGCGTTACAAGTGCGTTACCGGTCTTTTGGGAATTAGGAATTTGAGGATTGTGGGGGATTCGGGGATCGGGGAGACTGGAGATGGGGGTAATTGGGCCTCCGGTAACCTCACTCACACAACGAAACACAACGCAAGCGTTGTTTCACGTCTTTTTTCTGTGAGACCGTGGTATCACTACGGTCTAGCCGGCTCATTCGTGTCGAAGCATGGCTCTCCCACACTTAAATCGGGTCGTGGCATACTAAGCACAATGTGTGTTATTTATACTTTTTGGTATTGCTCTGCATCGTGTACATTTTCAAATTATGTTATTTATTTAAAATCATACTATTTCAAAGACCACTGACTAAGGTAGCTGTAGATTACTATAAAAAACTACGTATATGCTTGCACAAACAAAACGTTTTTCAACAAATTTCCCTAAAAATGACAAAGACAAACTGCTTTTCAATATTTAAATCTCTCTTTGTCTCACTCAAACTCGCATTTAAAGCTGAAATCCTTACATTTTCCTCTTATAAATCGTGCGCGCGACTAAAAGACAGCGACTGCAATAAAAGCCTCCATTAAAATCTCTTTATATTCCGACCATATTTTCGCTTATATTAAGTACAATACAACGAACACGCATTTATACAAAAAACTGGCTTTCATTGTATTTAAATGTGGAAATTACAATGATTTAGTGTTGGTTAGGGTTCCATTTTAAAAGCTAATAAGGGTTTACCACTTCCTAAATCCCAGTATTGTTAAAAGTTGTGTATTGTGTGGTATAAAATGTGGTGTACAAAGCAAATAGTATTATCTTTTTTGCGAGGAATTTAGGATCAATGAAAAAGGTCCGTGTCTCTTGCATACAACTGGGTGGGTAATTGTCTATTATGCAATGACTATGTTGTGTGGCTTTGATATCCACATGACATAAATATTTTGTACGTTATGTAGTATGTAGTAACGCGAAGTGAGATGAATAATGCGAAGCTACGCACAAAAATAAGAATCGTACATTTTTTGGACCATTCTCAATGTCCAATCTTCTAACTGCAACCAGTCACCAAGGGATATGCAACAATGTCATACGACTGCACGGTTGGCACGGTGGCTGGGCTACCATGTCGCGGGTTCGGTTCGGAACGGAGCAAGCTCTTTGTGTGATCCACAAAATTGTTGTTCCGGGTCTGTGTGTCATTGTGTATGTGAACTTGTATATTTGTAAACGCACCCACGACACAGGAGAAAATCCTAGCGTGGGGCAACGTTTAAAAAAAACCGCGTGGCAAGCTGAACGGACTAATTAACGAATTCGAGCAATGATGATTATTCCACACAGCTGTAATTTTTCTTCTAATTTGCGCTATCTAACTTTAGCTAATTCTATCATTAAAAACAAAACGTAAATTATAAAGGCTATACACTGTCGCATTAATGCTTCGTACAAAATGAAAATGTACTATTTGTTGAAGAAAACCTGGGTTTTCATATCGAGGGGTAACGGGCTATTTGGTTTAAGCGACATTTTTGCAACTTTACAGGAGAGCCTTTTAAAGTTTGAAATTTCGAAAAAAAATTCGTAACAAAAACGCTTCTGCAGTTATTTGAACGGGGTAAATTGCATTGAAATTTAAATTAAATTATCTAGTTGCTGATGCTAATTCTAAATAAAGCGGGCCTTTAATTACAAAGATAAATGTCGCTTAATACAATCTGCCCTTTTTTAGAGTCAGGAAAAATGATTTAAGTGACTTCATAACTACAATTGGCTACAAGGGAAAAAAATTAAGCGACAATGCACTCTATTTACAGAGTAAGCTAAAAAATATGAAGTGACGACACCCAAAATTAATAGAAGCAAGCTATTTATCTTAACTACCAATTCAGACTAAAATGAGTGACAGGCTAATTTACTTATGTGACAAATAACATTGAAATTATAACGTTTAATGTTTATGTTTATTTACATCTAAGGCGATTAATGGCTGATAAAACAACCTGGATATATCGCAATCACCGAAAATCTTAGATGCTTACATTGGATAAATAAACACAACACAATATCAAAGTATTTATTTAGAGTAATAATTACAGTTTCAATAGGAATATCGATTATATTTCAGCAAAATCAATTAAATTAATAGGTCATTTACTGAAATTGCCGTTTTGTATGAAAAAATTTAAACGATTTTTTCATGTATTTTTTATTTGTATAATCAACGTAATCACCCATGCAATCAATGCATCGTTGCCAACGCAGTGGCAGTTTATTGATGCCCTTCTTCAATCAGCTGGACGGGTAGCAACAAATTCTTCAAATGAATTTTGTACTGCCTCTCGGTTATTAAATTTTTTCCCGCCAAGAAGTTATCCAAATTCTGGAAAAAGAAGTAGTCTGGTGACTGGTGAGCAGGGTGGATGTCGGAGAGCTTCACAACCCCAGTTCTTGTAACGTGAAGGCCGTCTCTTGTGCAGCTTTAGGTCGCGCGTTGTAATGCAGGAGCAATGGAGATTAGCGATTGACCAATGCTGGTTGGAGATGTGTCAGCTTCTCCATCATTGTGTTCAGTTCTTCACACTACACATCCGTAGTAATACTCACTCCGTTTGGTAAGAATTTGTGATGAATCAGAATAGCGCGAGCGCTAGACCATCAGTGACCATCGCTTTTCTAGGGGTAAGTTATCGTTTAGGGCATTGTTTAGATGCTGAACTAGGATTCAACCAACATGCTAAACGCGTGTGGTTATCACACAGATTTCATTTTTCATCGGAGGTGACAATGAAAATCAAAATTCTTTCATTTGTGTGTATATTGAGCAGTGCAGTGCAAGGCACTACTCGATGCATTTTTTTTAAGGGTGGAAAATCATCGAATGACTGCTCCCGCCTGGGTGAGGCGGGAAAGAGTGTCAGACTCTTACTGACTGAAAATCACCCCGTTTCTTCTCCTGCACGTCGAGCCGGAGCCCCGGTTACCCGTTAGGTTCTCCGCGACTCCGAATCGGCATCTGTGGTGGTCTGATGGCTCTTTGAGGCGCGCGCGGAACGCGACGCCCCATACGCTCGGGTCTGTTTCTGGTCGGACGGGGACCCATGCTCACCGTCCGCAGGCCCGCGCTTACGGTAACTGGAGATCGTCCCGCGATCCCCGACGCCAGGTGTGTCCTTCGCGATGGCTGGGTTGCGAGGAGCCAGCGCTTCGCTGCCTCACGCGTCCCGCCTCCTCCTTAGCTAGCATAACTGCTTCGCAAAAGGAGGAGACGGCATCCCAGTCCCCCTCGCACTGCTCGATGCATACTTAGCTCTGTTGATCATTTAGTTTGTGGGACCACCCACTTATCAAGCTTTTTTACCTTGCCAATTTGACGCAAATGTACCAATATTGTTTTGACGCTAACGTCGAAAGCTGTTGCTAAATCAGCCGTAGATTGTATGTCATCAACCTCCACAATAGCCCTTAAATTGTCATTGTTGCCAAAGTTCATCTTGAAATTAAAGTACTTAGGATTCAATTTCGATGAGCGTTTTACGTAAACACTGGCGGTGTGCGCGCGTCCCGTCCATCTTCGGCGCACTCTGGAGTGACTGAAGCGCCAGCGCACGATAGTCCAGTTGGATGATAACGATTTTTAACACCAGGGCGATGAAATAAATATGGTATCATATGACATGATTGAAATGTACCATATTAAAACTTACTGATTGAAACACCGACTCGTATTTCTATGAATACTGGAAAAATGTTTCAATATTCATTATCAATGTTATCGTCTGTATAAAACGACATGCATTTAAAAAAAAATGAGGGTTAAATGGTTTATGACTAAACAAAATATCTAAACGAAAACAACTATTTGGTTTAAGTAGCACCCTGCGTAGAAAATAGAGGCAGCTAGAAATGTTTAAGAGACGTACTATGACGCATTTGGATGACGGACAAATGTTTTAAGCGACATCACACCGTGTGATTAGTGGGAAGTCAAAATGATTCAAGTTACTTGTTAATAAAAATTAGAAACAAGAAAAACGCTTTAACTCATGTTGACTTAATAATTAGAGATAGGGTGACTGGTTTATGTCTCGGTTATTAATATGATGGTATGGTTTAAGTACATAATTTAATAAAAAATGCGAAATCCATGTCGTTTAATACACTGCCACTTTGGAAACAACATGAAAATAGAATTGTTTGAAACGCCAAAAAAGTGCTCCGATTTTAATGAAACCGACATCATTCGACGGAGAAAAATTCGCTGATTCCGAATATATATATAACTCAATATCGCCCAAAATGTCGCTTAAACCAAATAGCCCGTTACCCCTCGATATTATTTTGTGCTGAATTCACAAAACTTCGCACCTTCATTGTGTTTGCAATACTTATTAAACAACTTTGTTAAATATTTTTGGTATCATTTGTCAAGAATGGCTTATAACCAGTATTCAGTTCACATTTAAGTTATTATATCATTCAATTGAGGCAACATATAGACAAAGTCATGCAAAGAAAAATCAATCTTGTAATTATTACGATACAGTTTTAATTATAATTTTAGTTCAACAAATATTTGACATTATTTATTTTATATACCATACTTGTGTTACAAAAAATCATTATGTAGGTCAATTAAAATTATATTCCATCAGTTTAGAACATATTCGTAATCTAAGTAGTGAGTAGTAGACCAGTATTCAATCCATAGACCTTTGCTTACTCTCGATCTTTTCTATAGCAGACTTATGCAAAGCAATCTGTTCCTCATGAAACTGCTTCTGGTCCTTCATACTTTCTTTAATTTTCTTTAGAAGCTCTTTCTCTTTTTTATAAAAATATTGGGATTCTTTTGCTATCCCCATATCTCTGAAAGCACCACCAGCTTCTCGGATCGAACCAGCCCCACCAGGGTCTCTGCAACCTAAAGAAATATTATGAAATAATTTTATTCTATTTTCTTTACACGATGACTAGCTTCTGCCAGCGGCTTCGCCCGCATTTCCGTGGAAAAATTGCTCTATGTGTTTTCCCAGACCTACCTCTGTCCCAAATGTCACCTCGATCTCTTCAGCCATTTTGAAGTGAAAAGTAACAAACATACAGACATATTTACATCCTAACCAACTTTCGCATTAATAATATTAGTAGAATGTATATAAGCAAGTTATTGCTTATAATCTCGGATCAATTGACGGTAAATGATTTAATAAATCGCCTTTGCCACAGCAGAAGAGTTACAACTATGTTGCCAGCTATTTGGGGTGTGAGTGGGACTCACACTGTGAAGCTCGAAGAAAGCGTTGTGTCAAACTAGTTGTGAGGCCGCAGTATTAATCAGTTTCTTAAATCCTAGTTCACTTACCACTGAAAAGCTACTTAATAAGGTGGTCTTAAATAACGTGCCATCTCTGTCGTTTTATTAAGAATTCGTAGTGACAGAACTATACTTAAGCGTGACTGAAAATTTAGTGGCATTTGAGTATTTGGACATTACCTGATTGGAGACGTATCACAGTCTTAAAAATATTCTTGTAATTAGATCTCAGAACTTTATTGATTTTTGTCGACAAACACCTCATTGTTTTATGGAATTATTAATATTAAAGAATTCAGTACAGAGTAAGGTGAAGATAGATAAATATTTTTTTCTTATTTACAATTTTACTAAAAATATTGGTATTTTAACTAATGCATGTTGTGATGTGAATGAACGATATTAAATAACTAGTTGGACATGGCTTGCTAGGTAACGTGATGACATAAACATAGACTAACGCATGTTCGTTAACTTCAATGCTGCTTCGATGGTAGATTGGTTTCAGATTCAAATCATTGGTCAGGAAAGTATTATAGAAGATTTTGACCTAAAAAAATTCTAAGATTCTAAGAAGCAGGTCCTGATATTAACAATTTTTAAATCATCAGTTGATTCTTAACTGAAAACTAAAATTGACTTTTGACAGTTTTTAGTATGGAAGAATTTGGTAGTGTCCAGGGTATCAAAATTAAAAATCTAATTAGTCCGTCAGTTAGACAATGAAAAAATATTAGACACGATTTTTTTTTATTTTCTCGTATTAAGTTGCAATACTTAGATAAAATGGCGCTGAGTTTATAACGTGCTACAATATGTGACGCGCTGTGACGTCACACGATATTTCAAATTAAGTAATATATCGTCGAAAGTATTTAATTTTGTGAGAAAAGAAAAAATACGTGTCTAAAGTTCTAAATTAATGTACATACCAGACGGACATTAAAATGAAATTTAGGAAACTACCCTATTGTCTAATATTAAGTTATTATTCCTGTGATTAAATGTTTGAGCATTGAAAAATCGGCGATAAGTCATTTAGTATACCTATACCTATTATCTTGGAATTATAAGTTTTTAAGAAAAAAGTAAACTAAAATTGAGAGAAAAAAGAACTTTAATCACATTTTCCGAAGTATTTTCTTAATTCTCTTCGTTGCTTTCTTGTTTATCTTCTGTAAGGACTTGTGATATATCATTTCTTCTGTCAGGTACGTCTTAAAATAGTGCAAAAGGTCTTCTTCAGACCTTGCCTTAGTTTTCTTAAGTGGCTTCTGACAAATTAATGCTCGGGAGTCGGGTAGCGCTTTGATGACTTCAGCTGAAAATATTATAACATATCATTATAAAACAAAAATGCTACAAAATTAAAATCACCTTCATGCAAGCGTTAATGATGTTAATGTTCATTTCTTCATCGTGTAAAAAGAGTTTTCTCAGTACGTGGATATTTACTGTCTGATGGTGGTGGTGATGATTATAAACATATACATATATATAAGTATATATATAACATCACACCTTCTATCCCCGAAAGGGTGGGCAGAGGTGCACATTTACGGCTCTTAATGCCACTGTACAATGTAACACTCACTTTTCACTATTTATGTTACGAATCCCATGTAATAGGGGGTGACCCTATTGCCATATACCGAGCACAATTCCAGGTTCAATGCTACTACTGAGATTTATAAAAAGCCCAGTATGTAATAATTTTCTCTACCGGGGATCAAACCCGAGACCTCTTGCCCGGCAGTCACACTTGCGACCACTCGGCCAACGAGGCAATCAAGATAAAGACTTGTGATATGTTTAATCTAGATATGAGACTTACTATTAGGAGGAATGCATTCCATGGCATCAATGTGATCTTTGTCAACTTTAGCCTGGGACATTTTACTCCCGGATTCTATCAGCTTGTCCTCAAAAGGTTTATACCCAGGAAACCAAGTGGACACCGTCTTGCTACCCATTTTTACATACTTCATCGACCTTATCACTTGCACTCCCCAGTAACTTAACTTCGTCAGAAAATTCATAGCAATTTTAAAACGAAATTATCGTGAATTTTTTATTTAATACTGTCATAATTTTCTATAAAATATCGGATACTTGGACCGTAATAATAAAAAAAATATCTTATGAAATAAATAATGACATATATGATGTATGAAATGACATCTCATTGAAAATAAGTCATAGATTACACATCCCCCCTATACTTTTTAGTTATTGTTCCGGGACTTATTATTAATATACTCTTTGGATCATACTGCTGACAATTTTACTTTTCTAAGGGCTTTACGGCTTTATGAAAAGTAATAAAGAGTTTTTATATTATGTGTACCTAACAATATTCTAATTTATGAAATGCACTGCTGAAGGTTGAGGTTTGAAAATGAAGTATAAGACGACGAATCAGTTCTGATTGGGAGTTTATTTGCGACTGTTCTTAATACTAAGTTTGTGGGCGCAGCCACGTAGTACCTTACACACACACGTTTGCTTATCATGCACTTTGTTTCCCTACAAGTTTCAACTAAAGTCATGATACGTTAAGTTTAGACCAACTATCTATTGGTTTAATAGAACTACCGGCCATTGCACATGATCATGAATTCATGATCTATATTTTTTTAATGGTAAGCAATCGACGTCGCGTCGCTCATGGACACCCGGAACACTAGACGCGTTACTAATGTGTTACCGGCCTTTTGGGGATTAGGAGTTTGACGATCGTTGGGTATTCAGGGACTGGAGAGATTGGGGAACGGGAGTGGGGTAATTGGGCCCCCGGTAACGTTACTCACTCGGCGACACACAACGCAAGCGTTGCTTCACGTCAGTGTACTGTGAGGTCGTGGTATCACTTCGGTCAAGCCAGCCCATTCGTACCGAAGCATGGCTCTCATACACTAAGATAGACATTGTAATCTTGTGACCATTGGTCAAAACATTTTTATGACAACCTTCTTTGATTTTCTAAGTACGATATACTGAATTGTCCACGAATACACTGAACATAATTTGTGTTGTAGTTCTATACAATTTTATTTCTATGTTTTTCTCCCAATACGCGTTCTAAAGTATATACATTTCATGCATTAGAAATATATCAATTTTTATTGTTTACAACTGCATACCTAATGTCCCCAAGGAACAACAGTATTCATAAAATTGTATTGGTGGAATAAAATTTTATATGTGCGTGTTTCATGTCTATAGGGGGATATATGCAGCCATAGAAAACGGACCATGTATGATGTGGAATTTTCTATAGACTGGTCCCATACAACCATAATGTTTTTGTTTTTCTTTAAATGTTAACTATTTTAGTACCATGTGTTATAAGTCCCATTAGTAAGGGAAGCTCTTTATGAAAAACTCAAACTCCATGAAGAGCCGATCTTTGTGCAACAGTAAAAGTCTTTCAATTAAAAAAGTGAACTAAGCATAGTTAAACTGTCAAACACCAAGCGGTCACCGGTGACCGCGACCTATTGTTCTTTAATTGTGTCTATAAAACCGGTACTCGACGAGTTAAACTATATTGTAACTGACAATACGAACTTTCAATGTGAATTCAATCACATTCTCGTCCATCACATAACATAACATAACATCACGCCTTTTATCCCCAAAGGGGTAGGCAGAGGTGCACATTATGCCACTGTACAATGTAACACCCACTTTTCACTATTTACGTTATGAGTCCCATGTAATAGGGGGTGAGCCTATTGCCATATACCGGGCACAAATCTCGTCCATCATTGGTCTAGTAATAGGTTAGTTTCCTAAATTTTATTTTAATGTCCGTCTGGTAGATTGTTTTAAAACATTAGACACGTATTTTTTCTTTTCTCACAGAATTAAATGCGTTTGACGGTATATTGATTTGAAATGTCGCGTGACGTCACAGCGTGCTTCAAAATGTACCACGTTGTGAGTTTGTGACGTAACTACCTCCCACTACTAAACTTAACGCCATTTTATTTAAGTATTTTAACTTTATACGAGAAAATAATAAAATACTAATTAGATTTTTAATTTTCTTACCCTGGAAACTACCCTATTCTCACAACCTGTGATATGACATGGCGGACCGCGATCGTTCACTTCTATCTTTCGAATTGACAGTCACAGAAAACGATAGCAGTTCTTAATTCCATGTTATTACCGAGTATTTCGAAAAGCGAAACATTTATATTAGGTACTCCACCTGTCATTGGAACCCGACACTCCTTGTTCGGCGCTTGGCAACACATTTGCAACTCTTATAGTGTTGAATGTCCATGGGCAGTGCCCTGTCTGTCTGAGACTCCCTCCCGTTTCACCCAGGTGCAAGCTTATTCACGTATATCTATTGTTATTATCTCTAACACGTTTGAGTAGTCAAACATTACCGAAAAAAATTGCTACAACAATCTCTACACGAAATGACACAGCACAAACTAACATCAGTATATCAACTCGGCAACACTTTAAAAACAGCGACAACAAAAGAAAGCGCCCTACAGCGCAACAAAAAGCTAAAACGGCGCTTTGTAAATCAGTAAGGCTGACGTGAATTACTATCGCCAAGTGTGAATTTATAGGGGCCGAGTGCCTTTTCGCGCAGTAATTCAATACAAGGGGCAGCTTGAAACAATGAACATTGTGACTCGGTGTACAACCTGCTTTATGTTGGCTGTATTGAAATTACGTAATGGAGTAGTTTTGTTTGTGTGTGTGTGTAGCTAGGTGCTCACTTTTCCTAGTATTTTACTTGGTAAAGTACCTATGAACATAGGTATATGTTCATATACGTATGTAGGCATGTCTTTAAAAGAACACAAAATAACATAACTTTACGCCTTTTATCCCCGAAGGGATAGGCACAGGTGCAATTTACGGCATTTAACGCTACGTACAATGTAACACCAATTTTTCACTATTTGTGTTACGAGTCCCATGTAATGTGAGGTGAGCCTATTATCATATACCGGGTATATTTCCAGACTGCTTCGTTAGACGAGTAGTCGCAAATGCCACTGTCAGGCGAGGGGTCTCGGGTTCGATTCCCGGATCGGGCAAAGTATTACTGGGTTTTTTACAAATTTCTCAGTGGTAACCGGAGTCTAGAATTGTGCACCGTATATGGCAATAGGCTTACCCCCTATTACATGGGACTCGTAACATAAATAGTGAAAAGTTGGTGTTACATTTTACAGTGACATTAAGTGCCGTAATGTGCAACTCTGCATACCCCTTTGAGGATAAAAAGCATGATGTTTATATTCAAGTATGTATTCTAAAATTCGTAGTAGATACAAAATACTGTTTTTATACTCACTCACTTAAAGACTAAACTCATCACAGCATGTTCAAAATCCCCATGATATAAAGTTCCAACAATTTCGAAAAGTTTCACTAGTTTTTGGTTTAAGTAGAGTATTAAGTGGGATTTTGACTGCGTTTAAAATTACGACATCATTTGGACGTGGAGTATCTCGTGAGTAGTTTAGAACATTTCCTTGAAAGACACTTAAATTCTGTTGTTGGGATATTAAGTTGTAGTAAAATGGGGCACTGTTTAATGGAGATGTGAATAAGTATTGTAAAGTTGTGCCTGCTATTTCATAAATGCAAATAGATTATAGAAATATAGTAAAAAAACTCGTTGGCCTCGTTGGCCAATAGAAATCACTCTGATATTATAAATGTGAAAGTATCTTTGTGAACAGATTTTGATGAAATTTAGTATGCAGGCAGGGTATGGTGTGACGATGGTAGGACTACTTAGATGATAGGAACTTTTTATCTTGATTACGTTTAATCGGGATAAAAAGGGTTAAGAATGGCAACAGGCTCACACCCTATTACATGGGACTCATCACACAAATAGTGAAAAGCCTCTGCCTACCCCTTCGGGGATTCAAGCATTCCATGGGATAAAACACTAATCATATTCTACGCGGACAAAGTCGCAGGCCACAGTTAGTTCTCAACAATACTCTGTCTGATACGGAAACGAAATAGAAACCTCTTACCCGACAATCGATCTTGAGGCCCAATCAACAATCTAGGCTAACAATTTTATTAATATCCTGAACTTAACTTTTAATCTCTTTTCTAGCCATGCTATGTAAAGAGTAACAAATAAAACCAGATATTTAATAATACAAGGTGTAGTTTTGAAGCCGTGTGTCTCGGGGGCATGTCACAGAAATCATATAGGTTCAAAGTAAGAGAAAGTTTCGGGCCAATAGTTAAAAATACGGCTATAATTAATCGTTTAAGTTGGACAGTATTTCAAAATAAGCGACAGCAATGTTTCTTATTGGAGTTTTATGGAATTAGGAATAATATCAATTACGTATTTGAGTTTGTGTGTGTTAAGCCGCGTTATAAAAATCAGTTATAAGACGGCGGCGTGTAGTACGCACTTACGGATTTCCGTAATTTCAGAAAAATGAAAAATATTAACCTACAATTTTTTTTATTGATTCGGACTCAGAATCGATAGCCGAGTTACCTCCTAGGCTTTAAAACAACATCTTGTATAAATCATTGGCTATGCGGTAAAAAAGATAAAACGCAAACACGTTACAAGTAAACGCGCGAATTGCGTAACTTGTTTCAGTGCAAACATTTTTCCTCGGCTGACAGCGGGAAATGTACTCGCTGTCCTGTTATTGCGTTCACTCTTTTTAATTATATTCTTTTTTATTTTATGTTCTTTTATAGGATAAGCCGGTAAACGAGCCGATGGATCACCTGATGGTAAGCAATCGGCGTCACCCATGGACACCTGGAACTCCAGAGGCGTTACAAGTGCGTTACCGGCCTTTTGGGATTAGAAATTTGAGGATTGTTGGGATTCAAGGATTGGGGAAAGGGGGGGGGGGTAATTAGGCCTCCGATAACCTCACTCACACAACGCAAGCGTTGTTTCACGTCGGTCTTCTGTGAGGCCGTGGTATTCCTCCGGTCGAGCCGGCCCATTCGTGCCGAAGCATGGCTTTCCAACACTTAAAATGATATGTTAAGTTGAATTATGCTTGCTTATATTTTGTTAGAATTCTATAACGCCTTAACCGTCACATGAAAATTGTTGAAGTCAAATTTTGCAGTCACTTTTTTTGCCCGGATTCTATCAACATGTAGTCTAATTGATAGTGATTAAAGTGTTAATTAGTTGAATGTTTCATTTTAGTTACCTACTTTTCCATCATAATCGATGTGTGTTTATTATACATTCCAGGTATTATTAGGCTTTTATTACGTCTAATACACTTCACATCAACAGCCTATAAGTGGCCACTGCTGACTAAAGGCCTCTTCTCACTCGGAGAAGGTTTTGCCTGCTCAATGCGGATTGGCGATTGCAAACTTACATTTAGAAATTATAAGCCCAGGTTTCCTCACGATGTTTTTCTTCACCGCTTGTCAGTGGTGTCTAAATAATCTTAAAAGTGCAAATAACTCGGATATAGTCACATTGGTACTTACCGTTGATATGTTTCGAACTTGCACCTTCGTGGTAGAGAAGCGGATGTCTTAAATCTCCGGGCAACCATGACATCTAATAAAGTCATCGAGGTCTTTTTTTTAAGGGACAGGTCCGCCACATCCTCCCAACACCGCTGCAACTCCTGTAATCCAGGATCTACAGTAGATACAACCAAGAAAACACCGGAACACAGAAGTCCGGCGCGTCCCAGGGACATGAGTAACTGTCTTGGTTCTCGCAACGAAGTGAATCAGAAGATATTATAAGAGGAGAAGAAAAATAGTCATCGACGTGTAATGACAACACTCAAACACTGAAAATAGTCACGACATTCAATTACACGACAAATCCGTTACGTAAACATTATCTATTCAGAAACACCAACAAACTTCATACC